TCTGCGAATTATATCTGAAGAATCAGTGATACCATCAAAACTTTTCGAAAAGTTAGCAAATCACCTAGTTTGATTGACTAGTGGTGTAAAATTAACTTAATAATAAAAATTCGATAATTGTTTTTTTTTCACTAAAACAAAGAGAAATAAATATGAAAAAGTAAAGGTTCGAGCGAGGTTCGAACTCGCGTCCTTCTGCGTGTGAAGCAGACGTGATAACCGCTACACCACCGAACCTGTATATACAGTGACTCTCTTCTCACTATGATTTCTGATGTGATGTACTTCCGCCTGGCAATTGCGAAAAGTAGATTTTGTTAAAAGTTACAGCATTCGATTCGGCAGGAAAAACTGTGGCGATGAAGCTTTTTAGAACCTTATAAGTCAGTTTGCGCTGTAGAAAATCCTACTGCTTTGATTTTTTTGTGATGATGGCCGATGTGATGTTGTGTGAATCATCGATATAGCTCTTCACCCAAAAAACTAGGTAGGTTTACAAAATGAGTCATACCTAGTTGACAGCCGTTGGTTCGGACGTCCATGGTGGACGAGTGTTTATCTCTGTAACAAAGGGAAAACCTTTTTCTAAATGCATTTGGAAATGCTTCGGAAAATGCATTATATGCTGCTAATTCAAAATCGATTAATATTGTCTTAGGTTGCAGCGGAATACCAAGACTGGTCGCAGCTGTCTTGAAACCTAAAAAGAGATAACAGTGTTATTATCTCATCGTGTTTATATATGTAAACTTACCAGTCAACGTTTCACCGTATGTTGATTCTTCCTTTCTTGGTAATGCGGAGGATAAACCTGGTTTCATTGAATTTGAACTAAATGCATGGATTGTGCGGCATTGTGAAAATAATTGTGGACAGGTCTGGAAAGCTCCATCAGCATTCCAATGAAAATTTTGTGAAAGCATTGTAATACCAAATGGAGAACAATATGACGGAATTTTATTTGAACAATAAATTAAGAATTATTGACCATTTAATTTTTTTGACATTTCTGAAGGAATCTGAAGTTTATCAGCTGAATAGGGCAATGACAATAAGTGCTTCAAACGAGTTCCATACAATGTCGACTTAATACCTTCTAAGCGAAGAAGCCAATCAACTGCATCACCTGCTCTACCATAAAAACACAAGATGCTTGAGTAACAAGCTGCTCAAAAATTTTCTTTGTACTTACAAAAATGGCTCTTTCTTCTTCATATGCTTGTGGGATTGGACGTATTATTGGGATAACAGTTTCACAGCGGAAGAAATTTCTACTATGAGGGAAAAAGATCTCGTATAGTTTTCCTCCTCTTACGAACGGTGAAGTCAAAGTTTTCCGTGAAGATTACCATTTTTTCGCTAACGAATTTTATTTTAAAAAATCGAATTTATATTCCGATTGAGCTTTTAGCTATTTTAGCGATCGGGATATAGACTATGAGACTCTACCGGGAAATGCCAGTAGTGCTCGACAGAAAGCTAATGAAAAGTAGTAACCAATCCTGTAGAGACAAACAGTGGAGTCGCAACCGTCGAAATTTATATAAAAAGGGGGCATTTCTAAAAACAAGCTTTAACAAAGCTTTTAGACCATAGAGACGACGATTACATACCTCATTTCTCTACGGCAGCCCGTCGGCTTAGGTAGGGTGTTCCTATATGTATGCAGTATAAAAACCTATATTATGCGAAATTATATGTAAAACTAAAATAATTATTTGCATTAAACATCAAAATGTAATTGATGTTGTCAATAGTTCGAATAATCACCATTGGATTTTCGATATTCTTTAATGAAACGTAACATTTCTAGCATCGAATCCAAGAGACCATCACCATTGATTGCGCATGCACCTTGTATATACCATCTGTGTTTACCATTCAATTCATTTAGACCCAACTTTTGTACAATCTCAGAACAGGACATTACATCTAAATTCACCGAAGATTAATATTAAAAGTGAAGAGGAAAAGGCAGAAAGCCTACCTTTCAGATCTTGTTTGTTAGCAATAACAACAATCGGAATATGTGTCATTTCTGGTGATTTTAATATTTCATGTAATTCAGATTTCGACTGTTCGATCCGTTCGCGGTCATTACTGTCGATAACATAGACCAATCCTTCAGCTCCTGGATAGTAGTATTTCCTGAAAACTAACGACCAGGTTCATGCATTTAATAGACTATTATCACAGAATTACCATAGTCGTTTCATTTTATCCTGGCCACCAACATCCCATACAGTAAATGAAATACCTTTACACGCTCGAACCATTTTAACATCAAACCCTTCGAGAAGAAAGTCGACTGTGAGTGCTTTTACTGTCGCTTTCGCGAACACTTACCAGTTGTTGGGATCGTTTGTAAATTTTCATTCGGTTTAATTTTGTATAAAATCGTCGCTTTTCCAGCAGCGTCCAATCCCAACATTAATATTCGTGCATCTTTTCCGCTACTTAACGATGCCAGTGCATCATAGAGTTTTGTAAACCAATTGCCCATTTAAAAGTTTCTTTTGGTTGATTTGACTTTATGCGTATGTTTTCATATGAGATGGATAAAGCCAGGTAGATTTTTATCCCTCCGTGATGTTTGTCGAATTGAGCAACTTTTTACAGGTAAAACATGCCACGTTTCATTTTCACCGTTGGCAAGAGACACGTAGACATGAACACAGAACAAGAAAAAACAGATAGACTATATACACATATGTAACAATGTCAATCTTTTTCCTTTTTTATTATTCAGCTTATTCTAGTTCTTAGGTATGTTAGAAAGTAAAAAGAGAAAAATAGTAAGAAAATAATAGAAAGTACAGGAACTGCGCAGTATGTATATGTAAAATTTATCTCACTTCGTTTAGACCTTTGTATTTGTATATCTTTGAGGATGATTTTTAAATAAATTGAAACGTTGGAATTTAAAATAAAATAAAATGATTCACACCGCTGTTTTTTTACGCTTTTTCTATTGAAAAGTATCAGCTTTATTTGGACTGCTACAAACGAGCATCCAGTCACACTTAGTAAGATTAAGTGTCATGAGGTTTGAATTATACCAATCACATATTTTTGTTAATATTCTACAGACAAACTTGTGGCAGGCAAGCAGAAGTAACGGGACAAATCAGCGTACAGTCATCGGCAAAAAGTATGGTGTCGGTAGGAAGTCGGACCACAGAGGATAAGTTATTAATAAATATACGAAATAGTAGTAACACTGATTACACCCGATATTAATGGTATAGGAAGAGATAGGAAAGAACCTACTCTAACACCTACTCTTGTTATGTTGTATGTTCAATAGAGCATAATTGGCACCAAACTCAAATGCAGTTGACTAACAGCTTTTGCGTTAAAGCGTGAAAAGAAAAAAATTGAAAGAAAATTAGTCCTATGCTAGCACAAATAAAAAAACACTGTTTCTAAGCGTAGCTTCTTAAATGCTACCAAAATTTAAGACAATATATAAAGTACTAGCTGAAGTACTAGGCGTTGCCCAGGAAAATTCAATTTTGCATACTTAACATATTGGGAAACGACGGTCTAATGGTTTCGTATAAGTTACCGATCTTGAATGTTCCAGAACACACTCGGATTACTTTCTCTTTTCAACATTTTTCTGTTTTTCGCATTTTAAGCTTTTTAAATATTTTTATTTTTTTCAATATGTTTTTTTGTTTTATGGGCTTCTTTCATTTAAGAGAGACTGTGTGCTGTGAAATACAATTTTTATTGCAAAGCTGTTTGATATACAATGTTTTTGGTTTTCGCATAAAGGGCAAAAACATACAAATTCTTCCCAGTTCCAATTCTTGAACACGCTACATACAGTTGACCGTGAAGCAAGAAGTCTCTAGGTTAATACCACCAACCTTGAGTGATTGTCCTTGGACGCTTGAATTCAAATGGCGTGTCAGTAGGAACGATGGGTATTCGTGGTATGAATACATCCGCACCCTTTGCGCAGCCTGTCAAGATTGTTGCTTCAATAATATGAGGCACCAGACTTTTCACACAGAGACTTGTGCCATTGCATAGTCTTGGTGCATCCAGGTTCCTTAAGCGCATAATGGGAGAATCAATTTTGAGTACCAAGTTATATGATGGCATCCCATGAGGCTCGAGCACAGTGGGCATATAGGCGGAAATTAGGCGGAAAATCGAAATAATCCTTTTTTCAAATATAAATAGTGCAAAATGTAGCTCTTGAAATTGTCTATCGA